GGGGGGGGGGGATGACTCCTTATTGCATTCCCCCTTTTTTAGAATCTTGTCACAATCATTAAATTTAGAAATATATTTCTAAATTATTCATATTATCACTGCAACATTCCTTAAAATCAGACTACTCACAAATAAAAGCCTTGAAAGACTAAAAAAAATAGAAAAATGTGTCTGACAGTAGCAGAAAGAAATCTAACAAAACTTCCACTCCAACGATGCTAGAACTCCAACCCCATGAGAGTTGAGTTCCGGTAACACCTGGTACATTACAACATGGCACACTGCCAAGTTATGGATACGTTGAAATGAGATCACCCCTACTACTTAAAGCCAGCAGCTAAAATAGTGACCCCCCCCCTTCTAGTTGGGTCCACTTGAAATATCGTACTCACTTTGGGAAGTTGGAAGTGTTGTTCCGTAACTTTTGTTCAAACGCGAGAAACACTGATCGAGTCTTTCACAAAATTTCATCAATCGTCGCAAGCAGATGCAATTGTGTCGCAAGTTTGCGACGTGCGAATCCCATGCATATGCCGTGCCAATTTCAACAAGTGCAGCATGAGCAATTCACGCACAGCAAATGCTTTTGGCATGGGCCTGCTAGGTCTGCGATCACAACATAGAAAACCTAAGAGGAAAATAACAAAGAGATTCAATGTGACGAGATAAGAGAGAGAGAGATGGGGCGGCGGAAACAAGGACGCGGAGAGAGAAATGAGTGCGCAAAATCACGGAATGGTAGGGAGGGAGACGTGAGGAATAGCGCGAGGGCGATGACATGTGTGATCGGAGGGGAGAGAAGTGCGACGGGAGGGCATTTCGAGGCGAACGCAAGGACGGCGAGGTGGGTGATTCGAGGGGGTATACGAACGGCGTGGGGAGGGCGGGTCAGAGCGAGCGCGAGTGTGACGGATTGGGCGATGAGAGGGGAGATTGGGTGGGGGACGAGAGAGCGACAGCAACGGGAAGGGAGGGGAGAGCGCGAAGGAGATTGGGCGGGAGAGGAGAGAGCGATGGTGACGGGGAGGGAAGAGAACGAAGGACATGGGGCGGGAGAGAAGAGAGCGATGGCTACGAGAAGGGAGGGAAGAGAGCGAAGGACATGGGGCGGGAGAGGAGAGAGTGATTGCGACAGGAAGGTACGGGGAAGAGCATAAAGGAGAGGGAAAGGAAGAGGAGCGAGCGAGGGCGACAGGAAGGGGGGGTAAAAATTTTTTGAAAGAGAAAATCTAGTTCTAGGTAAGTTATTATCATCTCATGATTAAGAAAATGGAACCTCAATGGCGATGGGATGGGAGGGGAGATGGCGATTGCAAGGGAGGGGTAAGAGCAAGATCGAAGGGAAGGGAGGGGAGAGAGCGAGAGCGACGAGCAGGGAGGGGATAGACCGAGAACAAAAAGAAGGGAGGGCAAGAGCGAGAACGTCGAAAAGGGAGGGGAGAGAGTGAGGGCGACGGAAAGGGAGGGGAAAGAGCGGAGCGACGAGAAGGGAAGGGACGGATCATGAGCGGCAAAAGGGCATTTCAGAGAGCGCGCAAGGGCGACGAGATGGGTGATCAAAGGGGAGAGAGGGAGGACGACGAGAGGCGATTCAAGGCAGCTGCGAGGGCGACGAGATGGGTGATGGAACGGGAAAAAGGTAGGTCGACGGGAGGGCATGTCATGGCAAGCGCGAGGGCGGCGATGTGGATAATTGGAAGGGAGTACCGCGATGGGCGGCGGTAGAAACGGACGGCAAGGGGTGAGCGAGAGAGGCCAACGGTGAATTGGAGGGTGACGATCACGAGAGACGGGAAATAAAAATACGATACGAAGCTACGTAACTACATTACGCATTCCAACTACGTCGATAGTTAGGTACCTTGGCCATAAACAGCTTGCTTCTCAGCTAACTATGGTAGGAAAAAAACAAGAGGCGACAAGTCGTCCTAGGGTTGCGAAGCGTTTTGCATATTTAACCAATCTTATACAGTTCCAAACACAATCATGGACATCGTTTTCCATGATTTCCAATTTTTTTATACGGAGTATGAAATCTGGCTGATGATTGCAAAAAAGCTTGACGCGGGACTCAAACCAGTAATCTCTCGCATTGAATGGGAATTTGAGACCACTGCGCTACCAAAGACATTCCTCATTCGTGTCGCAATTACTTTACTGTGTTCTGACGCGACGAAATCTTTACTGCCTTAGGGTTTGTGTGTCCTCTTTTTTTCCCTCGCTCGTCAGACTCCTCTTACCTCTCTTCCTACCAGTAAGGTGAGAAGCACGAGTGCCTAGGCTACCTAATCTCTCTAAGCTCTAAATGCATCAAAGTTAGATGAGTATTAGGTAGGCTTACATCTAGTAATCTCGTATTGTAAGTGTGTAAAATGATTACTATTAGCTAAACTACGTTATTTAAGCTTCTGTTCTAGGCCCTTAGCAAAGACTTCAGATTTTCGTTGTGCTGGTTTCTTTTCGTCCTGCATAATCTAGCATCCTTTCCTTCTATTGTTCATCATTCCTTTTCCTTTTCGTCGATTGCCTTATTACTCCCTCGTATTTGCATGTTTTCGTTCATTTACTTCTCATCTACGGTTTAGAGCCGTCCAATCCAGAAACTGACGTAGTGTCGTTTTTTAAAGCCTAATTTTTATGTCGGTTTGTTCATTATCTTTAATGATCTTATTTTGTTCGTTTATCTTCTTATGTACCTCTTTTCCCACCCTTCTTCCTCTTCTTCTTTGAAGCCACTGATGCTACTCCAGCTGCTCCCTTCACTTACGCCACTCACACCACTCCAACTTCTTAGGTAAGCATTGTTATTCTTATTCTCATCATGTTGAGAAGAAGTTGATGTAAGAGCCTTTCATCATCTGTCATTTCTCTTGGTCAAAGATGCTAGCTTCTTATTGTTTTTAAGGTTCATACGGTAAGCATGCATCCGTTTCTACTGCTCTTCAACCCCTCTTTCCTCTCTTGCATCCTTAGTACCTCGTATCTGCATACTTTCTTTGACTTTCTTACTTCATTAACCCCTTTCAACATTCCTCACTTTCTCTCCCCTCATTTCTCAATTTCTTTGAATTGGAATCTATTGCGCGTTTCGTTCCTTTATTGATGCTTCTATTTCGCGTTCTTTAGTTCCTGAATCGTTCACTTATGTGTTTCATGATTGTTTTGTTCGAAATTGTTGTTCTTCCTGAGCCTTTTTTTTTGTTGTTCTTTAAATCGCAATTGCATAAATTTGTTGTTTCATTCTTCATTTTGATCCCTATCTTGACTGCATACTGTTCTGTAATGAATGTCAAATCTTTGCCTTCCCGTCTGGATATTCGTCATATTTTTTTTTCCCGGTTCCTTCTTTCATCATTTCAATTTGCATAATTACTCTTTTTTATTTTGCCTTTTTGTTTTTCTCTATTTTGTACTTCTCAGATTTTTTGCTGTTTCATTCAAGCGACCAAGTATGATTTGGAAATGGAAAGAGGCTCGTATTGACTTGTCAGGTCTATAGTTTTTAGTGTAGAATTTTATTTGCATATGTTGTTTTTGGTGTACTGAGCATTTTTGTTTCCGTAAATGTGTATGATCTTTTGTGTATGTGTTTGCATGCGTTTGTGTGCATGTATGTGCATATATGTGCGACTGTGCGTATGTGCCTGTGCGTGTGTACATTCATTCATATGTATTGCATTAACAATGCATATTTGTGGGTTTTAAAAAAATGATCGACCTATCATTTCCGAGAAGGCTCTTTGCGCACTCAGTGAGTGTGTCCACTTGAGCTGGATTTCATAGAATTAGTCATTTTTTTAGGATACACAGATTGTGTTGTTTCATGTGACGGTTGGATGATTCATATATTATGCTATTGACTTCCCCCCCATGCTAGGCAGGGGATGCGGTAGCTTAGTGTATGGGTCAATCAACATCACACATTTCCATTATGTATCGTATGCGTTCATTTCACTATACACGGGACTGGTATACGGAAGTAAGTATACGCATATCACTGCAGGATACCGCACTATACGGTATTTACGCATTATGCATTCTATATCATATTATCCATTATTATACTGATACGCACATGCAAGCTTCATTAATGCATAACAGAATATCACGTATGCATTACGGAATTAACAACCACCGCGAGTTACAGTAACATTCTTTTTGCACACCGTGTTCATATTTCATCCACATAGTATACGTAAGGTAAATTCAGGGCGAACTACAAAGAAATGTACAGTAACATGACACACGTGCTAAATCGCCAGAGCAAATACGTAGTAGTCACTTACGCTGTAGTCGAGAACATTTTTCATCTTCTATAAATATTGTGGATGAAAAAAAAAATTGTACATAACGATTGTAATAGGTTGCTTCGCAACCCAAAAAACTAGTGACTTCGGGATTGGAGAGCAGCTAGTTGTGAACCCAGTTCCAACTTGAAGCCGACTTTGGGCCAACGATGGAAACCTGGGGAACAGTCGCACACAAAAAATATTTTGGCGGGAACCACACTTTCGAGGGCCAATCACGTAAGTTCATGTTGCCTGGTGAAATTGTTTGGAACCGTAGTGTATCAGACCGATCCCTTTCTCTACGCTAAACTCGTCGTACCACATTTTCAAGGTGGGTCGAGGTTCACTATTTTGCACTTTTGTTTTAAGGCCCCACCCATACAATGGCAACAGTCACTTTGGCACACAAAGAGATTGAACCCCTACAGTTTCTGCGCATGCCTTCCCGTTGTATTCAGCAAACTTTGCAGCTGCTCCAGATTTTGCTCCACCAAAGAAGCTGAAAGCACCCGAGCATGTGAGCAACGGTGACACCACCTTGAGCCTGCCCATCCTGCAAGTGTTAGAATTGATGGACTCGTAGTCTGCCTTGAGACAAACCTGGGATAGAAGGAGCAGACAGTGCAGACAAAAAGGGTAAAACAAACAGAGCTCAGAATGCAATGACCAGAGTAGATAATAAAACTGGAAACCTACCATGATCTTTCAAATTCACATTCCAACCCTCACCTGCGTGCTGGCAACAGAGGCACTGGAGGCAGGGGTGGTACGGGGGCAGATGATGCCAGGATTGTTGCGGTAGAGACCAATCCAGCTGGCAGTCATCATTTGAACCCCTGTGGACCCATCCCCACTTGAATCCATGCTCTGCAGCAGCAGGCTCTCGCACGTGTCCTGAGGTGAGAGCATGCTGTACTGCAAGCACCGAGGGATGGTGAAGGCGAAGGTGGCGTTGCGCTCGATGTAGAGAGAGCGGCCCGCCTTGATGGGCTCAGAGCAGTCCAGCCCGGGATTGAGAGAGGCAAGGTAAGTCGATGCGAGTCCCAGCTGGACGCTGATAGAGGAGCACGTGTCGCCCTGGAGGGTAGAGTGAGGGAGGGAGGAGACAAGAGATGGCTTGGTGCAGATGACACGTGATTACAACGGGCTGTCACCGGCTTAGAAATTTGCCCACTAAAATTGGAGAAGGGGGGGTTGTCCCCTTGAAAAACAACAGGAAAAGCAGCACCATTGATTCAGCTTCCCTGGTCCAGGCTCACTTTGAGGGCATAGAAGAATGCAGTGCAGGGGGTGGCGGGAGCGCTTCCCAGCGCAATCACCTTGCCCTGTGGCAAAGGCTGGTCGCACTTAACAGCCTGCAATTGAAAGAACACGCAGAACCGATTAGAAATAAAGTGTGGCGGTAGATACATCACAGGTAAGGTGATGCTCACCGTTGCCGCCACTCAACTTGCCGTTTCCATGCAAGTGTGTCCATAGCTTTGCCCTCTCACCATGTTTTGCGACGTGAAGCCAGCCAAGGAGACGCTGACCACAGGGGAAACATCCGAGCACCGCCAGTTGGCGCCGTTGACTGTCAACATGGAGGCTGTTGTGTTGGCTGGAGCAAGGAGAGGAGAGAGGCAGGTAGAGAAGGTGAGGAGGGAATGCAGATGAGATCATGCCTCACGACAATGGATGGTGTATCTTGAAGATCAACAAACAACCCGTCAAAGTGCATTTTACACTTTCTTTACACAATCGAGCTGTTTTCAAGAGTGTGCAAGTGGGGCCAACATGGTAGCACATCACCTAGGTCGCAGGTGGGGAGGTTGTCAGCGGTTATGCTGCCAACGTAGTTGGGAGGGCAGATGCAGGAGTAGGCGCCCTTGCCATCATTGATGCATGTCCCCACAGCGCAGGGGTTGGTAGAGTAGGAACCGCACACATCAACTGTTGGGTTGGCAGCAGGGAGGAGATGGGTGGTGGAAGATGGGTTATAAGGTGCAACACGCTTGCACCTGTGTGGGGGAAATGGGAGGAGGGAAGCCGAGGTGGGGGGAGGGAAGGGGTGAGGGGAGGGGGGGAGGGGAAGGGCGTGGAGGACACCTGCATTGAGATCCAAAGCATTCAAACGAGAACCAGTGATGACCAGCATTTGGGAGGGCAGATGCAGGAGTAGGCGCCCCTGCCATTAACATGCTTAGAAGCCATGATGCCACGGCTGCATTTCCATTGCGGACGATCTCCACACGTACTGCAAGGGAAGAGCAATGCACCGTGGTTCAGAGAGACATGTTTGTGCATAAGAACGACTCACCATATGCACATGTGTTGGAGCCAGACCCATTTGGAACTTCAACAAAGGGCTGCTTGGTCTCATTCGGTATGGTGCAGTTGCAGGTGTTGCTGTTGGTCTTTGTGTTCGGCTGGCAGGTGAAGCGCCCACACGGGTTCATGCTGGGCTGCAGATCCCCACTGCCCTTGTAGCTCTTCTGACCACATGGATCCTTGGGAACTGGCAGAGTGGTGGGAAGGACAGGTGAGTTAGCATGTCTGAACAATGGGACATGCATGTAAGTGAGCTGAATCCAAAACTATGAAGGTGTCCCGCCTGCTGAGTGAATACAGAAGGTGTACATGATGTTGCAAACAGAAACGATTGACAATGTGGTACATGCCTCACTCCTGACAATGAATAGATGTCTCACTCTTGACAATGGGGTAGATGCCAGGCAGCACGTTGATGCCACATACGCCATCCCCTCCCTGAATGCCCATGCGCATGTGGCCCCTGTCGCCCCACTCCACTCCCCACGAGTTGCGGATGATCCAAAACGGTGGAGCAGTGGGGCTTTGGCGGCCACTGTTTGTGAAAAGGAGGTACCCAACAACGAGTACAGCATGGTCCAGGTTGCCAGTGTAGCAGTCAGGATCCTGATACTTGAAGGTCTGGAGGAGAGAAGGAGATGGTGAGAAAAGGGAAGGAAGACACAGATGCGGCCTCAGGAGGCTTGCGGTTACCTATATCGGTTCCATGTGGTCACCAATAAGAGCACCCATGTCAGTTGAAGGTACTTGCAGCTCAACAAAGGACGAGTTGCGTCTTAGACAGAGACGCAGGCATGGCAAGGAGTTCCCATTGGGATGCTGACAAGGAAGCACTATGAGCACATGATGAGAGTACCAGTACTCACCCCGTCATATTGTACAAACGAGGTAGAAGAGGCTTCAATGTGAACCACCACTGGCTGTCGTCGCACTGCTAGCATGAGCCCCATGTAACCCTTGAACCTCGTGCGCTCAAAGCCCTGGATGGGGTACCTTGATGGCTGTGGAGAAAACAGCAGAGAATGGAAGGAAGATGAATGAATATAACGAAAAAAGGTAACCAGGAATGTGTACCAATTGTAGAGTCGAATTCTATCTTGCTGACCTCACAGCCATTGTTTCTGTCCACCTGCTGCGCCACCCGTGAATTCTTGTCTCGGAGGCACTGCTATCTGCACATCACCGGCATATACTGCTATGCCACTCTCTACGTTTTTGTAGGGTCGCTCGTAAATGTTTGCACAGGCTCTCTCACTCAAAGCTCTCTCCTACCGGCTTGCTGTCCGTTGTGAGTCCACCAGAGGGCAGAGTGAGAAGCTTTTCAAAGGCCGCGGCAGGAGAGCCGCCTGCCATGCACTTGGCAGTGAGGGAGGTGAGCCCCATGGCTGCAAAGAGCGAGTCCACTGACAGCCGTGGCGCCTCACTGCTCAGCGCAATGCCGTACGCTGCCTCCACACTCGCCACCACCGCATACGCCCAACTCGCACCTGAACGGGGCAATTTGAGAGGGGAATGGAATGCAGAGGTTGATTGAATTTAACGCCGCAGATGTCACTCCAAGGAGCATTACAGGTATAGAGAGAGTGCCAGGGGTGAAAAACATCACAACAGTTCTGTCCCCATCCATCTACTCCCAACTGCCCTCACGCCTAGGCACAATCAAATGGCAACCCTGAGCATGTTCGTCCCGAACCGAAAATGCTTGATTCTGGTCAAACAGTTTTTTTTCTGCAACTCGATGTTCGATGTTTACAAGTCGAACTTTCACGACTTATGGGTTTGGTTCACGCTCCATATTTTCATCAGAAAACCACTGTGAGATGTGGATAGGAACTATCGAAGTATGTCTGAACGGGCTTATGTGCAAGTCAAGGTCTTGAAATTAATAGTTGCGACAATGTTAAACATCACCTGCACAACCCAACTCATGTAGCAGTGCTTCACTTTTGGGAGCCGAAACGAACCGTAACAACTCGAGCCAACATCTTTGAGTCCAAATTTCTCAGGAACAAAGAAAAAACCTGTTCGCGTCAACTCAAACAGGGTTAATTTTTTTGCTAAACCATTTTCATGCCCACTCACTGCAGTCATCCTGGTTCTTGACCGGCCAGCCGAGGAAGGGCATGGAGTCCTAGGAGTGGGAGCCGCTGACTTGCCAGACACTCTGCTGGTTGGCCAACAGTCGGTAGTCAGCACTCATGTAGCGCATGAAGGGACTGGCTCCCACTGGCGCATAGGACGCCACAGAGAGAGTCAGACCAAAGGCTGGGCATGGCAGGTACAAGGGACGATGGGAAGACATGTGGGTGCTTGCTCATGTGTGCATGAGTTGTTCTTTTTGAATGGCTGGAAATATGGGCAAGGCAGAGAAAGTGAATGCACGAGGGAGCGTTGTACAATAAAAACACAAGAGAAAGAAGCCGAATGACGCCCATGCAGGGATTTGATGAGAATGATAGTTGTTTCCCAGGAATGTCTTCCTGGGAAGAGGTTGTTTACCTGGAATGATGTCCACCGGCTTGCGTGGAGCCGGAAGGCCTGCAGAAAAAGGGAAGCACGAGGGACATACAGGCATGGGAGCCATAGTTCGTTAATCTGGTTCAAAGCATGGTGAGGAGCATACAAGCAGTTCAACCTCCTCCTCACGATCATCATCAGCATCACTGTCATGACCACCACCACCACCATAACATTGAAGCTGTCCTCACCAGTGCGGACTCCCGATCGGAGGATGAGATGCATCTGGAAGGGCTTCACAGTGGTGGACGCCACGAAGCCAAAGAAGAACGCCGACTGCTCTGCTCCAGCCTGCAGCACCTCACACAGCGCCAGCCTCCTCTCTAGCAGCGGCTCCACTGGCTTCACCTCCGTGGCAGCCAAAAACACCTGGATGGTGCCGGGTTCCCCAGGCTCATAGTCCACACACGCTGTGTACGCCTTTCTGTTGCTCAGCTCAAACGGCGACTTCACAGCGGCTATTGACTGGTCCTGGCCTTGAATGTTCAGCCCCACATGCGGGGTGCTCATATCGCCATGCTGCTTGTCCACCGTGGTGTCGAATTCAACCGCCATGCTGCGGCTGTCCATGCCACCATACCCCACTCCAGATCCACTCCCCACCCGGTCCGTTGCCGAGACGACAAAGGCGAAGCCATTGTTGCCAACACGGCCGGATCGAGGGGAGAGGGAGAAGGTGAAGTTGGCCTGGAAGGCGAGCTGCACTCCACACCCCGCCACCTCCTGCCCTGCCCCGTACACAAACAGAGGCACCGGAGCCGCAATGAAATTCCCCCCAGTCTCCTTCTGCGTCCCCTTGGTGAGCATGGTTGTTGGCGGGAGAATAGGCTGGTTGACTAAGGTACTGTTGGTGCTGCCCGAGGTACTGTTGGTGCTGCCCGAGGTACTGTTGGTGCTGCCCGAGGTACTGTTGGTGCTGCCCGAGGTACTGTTGGTGGTGCCCGAGGTGCTGTTGTTGCTGCCGGAGGTACTGTTGGTGCTGCCCGAGGTACTGTTGGTGCTGCCGGAGGTACTGTTGGTGCTGCCCGAGGTACTGTTGGTGCTGCCCGAGGTACTGTTGGTGCTGCTCGAGGTTCTGTTAGTGCTGCCAGAGGTACTGTTGGTGCTGCCGGAGGTACTGTTGGTGCTGCCCAACGTACTGTTGGTGCTGCCCGAGGTACTGTTGGTGCTGCCCGAGGTACTGTTGGTGCTGCCCGAGGTACTGTTGGTGCTGCCCGAGGTACTGTTGGTGGTGCCCGAGGTGCTGTTGTTGCTGCCGGAGGTACTGTTGGTGCTGCCCGAGGTACTGTTGGTGCTGCCGGAGGTACTGTTGGTGCTGCCCGAGGTACTGTTGGTGCTGCCCGAGGTACTGTTGGTGCTGCCCGAGGTACTGTTAGTGCTGCCAGAGGTACTGTTGGTGCTGCCAGAGGTACTGTTAGTAGTGCTGCCCGAGGTACTGTTGGTGCTGCCCGAGGTACTGTTGGTGGTGCCCGAGGTACTGTTGCTGCTGCCCGAGGTGCTGTTGTTGCTGCTGGAGGTACTGTTGGTGCTGCCCGAGGTACTGTTGGTGCTGCCCGAGGTACTGTTGGTGCTGCCGGAGGTACTGTTGGTGCTGCCCGAGGTACTGTTGGTGGTGCACGAGGTACTGTTGCTGCTGCCCGAGGTGCTGTTGTTGCTGCCAGAGGTACTGTTGGTGCTGCCCGAGGTACTGTTGGTGCTGCCTGAGGTACTGTTAGTGCTGCCCGAAGTACTGTTGGTGCTGTCCGAGGTACTGTTGGTGGTGCCTGTAAACATGCCGGGCATACAAGCAGAATGACTATGGGTGAGTATTCTCAATCAAGGCAGATGATGATGAGGTGAGCCCACTGAAGAGCAAAACCAGAGCAGTGACATCAGATGAAGGGTGCAATGCAGTGATGCGGCGGTGCCCATTCCATGTTCTGTTTGTGCCGGGTCCAGGGAGCTCCCTACCGTCAGCCACGCAGGTGAGCCTTCCAGATTGGATGAATCCCGCATTGCACAGACAGGCTGGGGCCAGGGTAACCTCGTCTGGAACGCACACCCCTCTTCCACCACAGGGAGCAGCTGCAGCTGCAGAGGAGACGCTACAGAATGCATTGCATGCTGCTTCCTGCCGCTGCTCCGCCAGGGAGCAGTTAGGAGGCAGTGTGAAGCAGTTTGCCTCGAAATTGCGAGACTGGCATGCCTTGTCGGGCAGAGGGCCCGAGAGGAAGTTGTTGGAGAGACGCGGGGTGCTTATGGCGGAAAGTGTGATGGGGCCTGTGAGGTAGTTGTTGGAGAGGTCGCTGGGATAAGGGGGGAGAGGGGGGAAGAGGAAGCAAGAATGCATGTGAGGGATGCAAGAACTTGAGCTTGAACTGATACATTACGTAATGAGATCGAGGCTCTTAAGTACCTTGGAAATAAGCAAGGGATGGATGGAGAGGGAATCGGGTCGGGACCAATCCAAAGGAGATGGGTTAAGATCTCCGATTGGTGGGTTGGAAATTTCGGTTGATTAAATTTAAGTGAGGTTGAGATTGGGGTGTACACGCAACCAGCACAAACTACATACAAACTACGTTAATCTTGGATGTATAAAAATTACAAGTACAAAAGTTGAGATTGAGGGCTAACACTAACGCGGGATGCAGAGTTCGAGAGGAGGATAAGGGTGATTAGGAGATTATTTTTTTGCCTGTAGAATGGATTGTCTAAGGTGTTAAAAGTTGGGGAGATAGAATATGGGACCGTCAGATTCAAGCTCATGATTTGCAAGTTGGAATTCGAGCAATAATTTAAATTGCAAGAGGCTGATAGTGGTAGCTGTGCAAAGGACTGTGCTTTGGCGGTGTTGAAGTATTTGCGGTGCAAAGGGCAGTGTGGGGGCGGCTTATAGATAGTTGAGTTGTGTGAGCTGGGAGAAGCTGTCAGGAATGCGACCATACAGCTTGTTTGAGGCAAGAGACCTGATGCTCATGTGGTGGTGGAGAGACAGGGCGGAAAGGATATATGATAGAGAAAGGCAGGTGAACAATGCTTGGAGAACACTTGTAGATGGGCAGCTTTCGAGGGGGATCTGGGTGGCGTTTGACAGGAAGAAAGCAAGCACGTTGGCACTGTGGCTTGGTTGGGAGTATTAGTAGATTCCGAGAGTTCTCTCAATGAGGGAATGTCACATCACTGGAGCAGAATTTCTTGGAGCTTGTGAGCTGGGAGAGAGGTGACATGCTAGTGGCATGGCGTGCATCAGCTTACAGATAGTACAGCTGGGTAAGGTTCCCAATGGTGTCAGGAATCTTTCCTTGGAGGAGATTCTGCTGGAGGGCACTGCAGAGCGCATGAAAGAAAGAGATTCGTGTGTGACAGGCAGACTCGTTGGGATCTGAGTGCGCAGCTATGTTGGCGAAAAACGCTCAGGGTAAGAAACAAATCGCGTATATTTGTTAGCGTGTATACCGAAAATCGTGATACGCTCGGTCGGACCGCCTGTAAAAGAAGAAGAAACAAAAAACAACCCAAAAAAAAACTTACATAACAATTGCACGATTTTGCGAGGCACGCCGAAAGTTGCCATCTTTCCCCTACCCAATGTCACGCAGCCTCACAAGCAGCTGAACCTTGCGCGTTTTTGGTATTGCTGTTATCTTCCGTGACCAGATCCACTCGGATCTGGTATTGCGTGCCCACCACTGTGCCCGAAGATTTTTGTACCTGCCCGACACTCCGTATCCCGGAGTTTTCTGTACGCTGGAAATCATTATCCCAGACTTAACACGCGTACAGCAAAGCAATATGCGTTTCTTCCAACATAGATGCACAGGCACTTTGCTGGAAAGGAAAACCACATTCATGGAATGGCCAGTGGAAGTGAGGATTACATGGTAGTCATGCTGATGAATAACACATAAGCTGGTGAAAGTGAGCATTACATGGTAGTCATGCTGATGAACAACACATAAGCTGGTGAAAGTGAGCATTACATGGTAGTCATGCTGATTACATTGCACATAAGCTGGTGAGCACTTACATGGTATTTAAATTGGTGAGGGAGCCGATGGAGTCAGGGATGGATCCAGAGACCTGGTTGCGAGCTATTGCGCTGATTTGTGGTCAGAGGTTGGGGCGACAGAAAGAAGGTTGGTCCAATGGCACGAAAACGTGCTTGCGCTATTCGTGAGTGGTTCTTACATGCCTTGGAGATGGCCGGAAAAATGGAATAGGGGTATGAAGAGGGTTTGAATGAGAAGAAGGGAGCACATGGAGGAGTTGACTACAATGGAGAACTAAAATTGAAAGGGGGGAGAAAGGAAGGAAGGGGCTCACAGGAGTGCGAGCCTTGAGAGAGATTGTATGCCCACTGGAATAGACCGAGTGAGTTGATTGTTGTCAAGAACCCTGAAGAAAATGAAGGTTCATTGGAGCGACATATACAGTTGAGTCAGGGTCGGATGGGTAGTCGTTTGGTTCACTTATTGGGCACGTACAGGGAATGGAGATGGCCTGTTTTGATGCCATAGCAGAGGGAGAGGCAGCATTAAATAGTGGAAAGACAATGCAGAAGCTACACATTTGTTGCAAGAATGTAGTTGATAGGGGCAGGAAGTTACACAGGTCAATAAGAGGGGGGCGGATAGAACTGACAAAGCAGGTAGTGGGCGCCTGAGCTCAAGACGGGCAGGCAGCAAAAGTTGTATAATGTGGACAAGCACGTAGGGTATATGCAACAGATTTCACTAGCAGTGTCCTGCAAGAGAGACTTGCAGATGCTAGGGCTAACTGGAGATGGAAACTATAGGATTGGCAGAGCCAGCATCAATGTGCTTCAGTCAGTCAGTCAATCAGTCAGAGTGGCCCCAGATGCCTAAATTTGAAGCAAGGGAAGAAGCTAAGCGAGGTGAAATGTCATGAGATCAAGACACGGAATTTTTTTTCCAGAGAGAGCTCGGTAGCCAAGTCTGTTATAAAAATTCACAAGTCATTTTGCCCTGATTGAAGCCCAGGTCCAGGTCAGGTTGCTAGCCATGCGGCAAAAAGCTCATCTGAGCTCCGTATGTATGCAAATTGAGCTGCGGCCCAGACACTGCTCAGGACTAAGAGTAAGAGCCTGGAACACAGACAGCATTGTGAAAAACAAGCTAGAAAAACATTGATGGTTTCCGGAAGGGTTCATACAAATTTTGAGGAGACCAGGGAGTGCAAGGAGAATGAGGGGAGGGGAGAAAATTGGGATGATGTGAGGCCTTACAGAGACACCAGAGATTGCAAGGTGCCAATGGTGGCAGGGATAGAGCCAACGAGTTGATTTCTGTGTAGATACCTGTGGTTGCACAGGGGTGATATTGTTACACACAAAAGACCTGGACAAAGCAGAGAAGTCGGCAGGAAACAACTATAAGACCCCTGCTAAATCACGGTATGGCATCAAGGTTATAAAGTCATCACAGCAGGTTGCAAGATCTGGAAGTAGCACTTGTTAATATAACTGCATGATCGGTTATAGCGTGATAAAAGGTACGGATGAAAAATGTGAAACGTTCTGTACTGGGTTTAGAAGTTGCTGATCATAAAGCACACATGCTTCTCAGCTTCTCCTCTCAATCACACGCTCAAGGACGTCAGGTGTGCTCACAAGTTTTTGATTCGAGTGAGGGCAGTGAGGCTGGAAGGGATGCTGCCTAGTAGCTGGTTGGTTGAAAGGTCGCTGAGGAAAGAAAATGGTGGCAGGAATTGAAAACATACTAAAAAATGATATGATGCATGGGAGCAAAAGGCATGGGCAGAACATTGTACATGAGCAAGCGAGCCGATTTAAAGGCTGGGTTGTT